ACCTCTAAATAAATTTCTAATCTTATTTCTGTTTTGAGAGCAATTATAGTAGAATAGGTTTTTGATCCTATTTCTTTTCTAACAGTAAATAGATTTCTCCGAAATAGTGACTGAAATAACTCCATATTAAATAAAGTGTAAAAGTCAAAACCTTGCGTAATATTTAATTTTTTGAAATTAATTAAAACTTTTACTAACACCTTTGGAATGAAGTGTGGTTGAAGAATCGTTGTTTGAAAAGGAATATTTGTGCTAATGACAATTCGAATAGGAATAAAATGCATTGTCTTCCATTAAACTTTTTTTTTTCGAACGCTTGTTGTTGTTGTTGTTGTAATTTTGTGTTTTAAATATAGGAATTAAATAATGCATATACATCTATATGTCTTTAATGTACGTCGGCTGGCATATTTATATCCTGACTATATTGTAAAATCCCAAATTATAAGAAATTATCTTTTTAAAATATTTAGCGTGAAAACAATAATTTTTATTGTTTAGCTCCCTGACATTGATAGGTTAGCTGAGAGCGTACTCGGAGATGAAAATTATGGTAACTTCAATTTTATGTTCTAGATTGTTACATGGTGTTATTTTAGCACACAATATATTGGTATTTGATATGTACTCAATATTTTTGATTGGCAGTTAACCGCTCATTAGCATATGTACGAATTCATAATTTACTAGCACCGATCAACAACATAAACTATGAGGATGCACTATTTATGCAAACTACTACTATAGAAAAGCTCAATTAGAAAAAGGACTAAATCTTTTACATAGAAAATTCTGGAGAATGCATAGCAGATGGAAGCGATAATGAATGTTTAAAATCCAACACCTACAATCAATAAATTACTCTGAGTAATGGGACCATATGCGGTCAAATAAGACAGGGTGCAAGTATAGAATTTATAATGCTTTGGATAGAAAATAGAGATGTAAAAATAGGAAATGGATTAAAGAACTATACAGATAGGAATTCTATTGGATAGTAGAATGGTGTAGGTTTTGGTTATTTTTGACTTTCTTTTCTGGTCTTGAGGAAATCCTAATAAATTGTATTTTCGATTTTGGTAATTAACAAGATTTTTTCTTTCACAAGATTAGGGGGAGAAAAAAGCCCCCTAATTCATTCTCCGCCTAATAAATTTCTTTTCTTTTTCAATGTAATGATTAACAAGATTTTTTCTCTACTGATGTAGGCCATGACGTAAGCTACAATTTACTTCACTATAATTCATTTGAGAAAATATTCTGGCATTTTATGTAAACATAATTGATATATACATCTAAGAATTTGTTAGCACAATCTTACTAGCACAATATAGTACTCCATTTTATAGAAAAACTAAAAGAATCTTTTGTCTTGAAAACTGATATCAGCACCAACAACTCTTACAAAAATCTTATAGAGTAATTAATGAAATCTTTTACGTTGAAAACCGATATTAACATCAGTAGCCTCTTACAAAAAAATATCTTATATTATTGCTTTTTTCTCATCTAATTCCCTTTTACAACAGTTTTAGGGATTCCACGTGCGAGGCACGTGATATAGAAACTAGTTCACTTAAATTTAACAACAAAGTATAGATTACTTTGGTAAATAAACTAATTTTCAAATTTCTCTAACAATTTGAATTATTACTTCAAGTTAAATTTATAATAAACAAGCTTTCCTTTTGATTTGATATTCTGCTCATTGAATCATGACCACACTCAATCACGAAGTCCAAGTCGGAATCTAATATATGAAAACTTCAATCACCGTAAAATATTGATTATGGAGTCCAAGTCAAGTTCTAAAACAACAATTGTACAATTTTTAGGGATAGATCTTCTCTCCTTGATGAATACAAAAAAGTAATTTGACCAATTTAGTATCATACAATTTAACATTTTCTCAAAAGAGTTGTTATTACCATTAAATCTGAATTATTTTCTTTACTTGTATGCAAATTTTATTAATTGATGTGGAACACACGTGGAACACGTACACTAAAACTAGTATATATTAACGGTTAAATTTCATTGACATAAGAGAATTAAAATTATATTCTAATGGCAAATTAAGGGGCTCATAATTTGTTTTAGGTCACATATTTAAATTCTAGATGTGTAACGACCTGGCCGGTCGTTTTGAGAGTAATAGCCCCGATCCCCTATTAACTGCTTTTTTCATATCTATTTCTGCTATTGTGACTTGTCGGGATGATTAGTTTTGAGTTTCAGAGTATTTTGGGATACTTAGTCCCTAAATGAGAGCTTAAGCCTTAGGATTTGGACCGTAGTCGGAACTGTGTGAAGAAGACTCCGGAAGGTCAGTTCCGTTAGCTCTGTTAAGTGATTTTGGGTTTAGGGGCGTGTCCGAATTGCGTTTTGGAGGTCCGTAGCTCATTAAGGCTTGAAATGGCGAAAGTCGAATTTTTGGAGTTTTGGACCGGTAGTGAAATTTTTGATATCGGGGTCGGAATCCAATTCCGGAAGTTGAAATAGGTCCGTAATCGAATATGACTTGCGTGCAAAATTTGGGGTCAATCGGACATGGTTTGATAGGTTTCGGCATCGGTTGTAGAATTTTGAAGTTTCAAGTTCTTTAAGTTTGAATTGGAAGGTGATTCGTGAATTTAACATTTTTTGATGTGATTTGAGAGCTCGACTAAATTCGTATGGTGTTTTAGGACTTGTTGGTATGTTTGGTTGAGGTCCCAGGGGCCTCGGGTGAGTTTCGGATGCTTAACGGATTATTTTTGAACTTTGGAAGATAGTAGATTTCTCGTGTTCTGTTGCGGGCATTTTCTTCATCGCGTTCACGAGGTAGCCCTCGCGTTCGCGTAAGGTATCTGGGTAGGGCAGCTGAATTACTCTTCGCGTCCGCGATGTCTCTCTCGCGTTCGCGAAGGTGTGAAACCTCGAAGCTACGCATTCGCGACATGGTCCTCGCGTTCGCGAAGAAGAGCTGGAGGCAGGCGAGATTTCGTGTTTCGCGTTCGCGATGGAGATCCCGCATTCGCGAAGGGTCAAGCTGAGTGGTATTCGCGTTTGCGACATGTTCATCGCGTTCGCGACATGTTCATCGCATTCGCGATGGAGGATTTTTGGGCCGAAGTAAATTGTACTTCGCGAACGCGAGGGTGTGGCCGCGTTCGCGAAGAAGGACGCGTCTGGGCAGTATTAAAGTTTTCAAAACTGGGGTTATGCCATTTTTATCAAAAACTTGAGTTGGGAGCTCGGATTTTGGACGAGGGATTGAGGAATTTTCAGAGATATCGATTGAATAATGATTCTTAACTCCTTTATGGTTATATTCCACTAATCTATGCTTGAATTCATCGTTTAATTTCGGATTTGGGGTGAGAAATTGAGAAAAGTTCTTAGGCCGATTTTGGGGGTTTTGATCGAGATTTTGGTATCGGATTTGAACAATTTTGGTACGAGTAAACTCGGGAGTGAATGGGTGTTCGTATTTTGTGACTTTTACTCGATTCCGAGAGGTGGGCCCCACGGGCGATTTTTGAGTAAATTTTGGAATTTTTGTTAAAATGTTGATTTCATTAATTAGATGAGTCTATTATGGTTGTATTTAAGATATGTAATTACTTTTGGCTAGATTTGGCTCATTCGGAGCCGAATATTCGTGGGAAAGGCATTGTGACCGATTGATTAAGCTTGGTTCGAGGTAAGTGGCTTGCTTAACTTTGTGTGGAGGAAATTCCCTTAAGATTTGGAACTATTGTGCTATGTGAGCGCCGTGTACGTGAGGTGACGAGTACGTACACGGGCTAGTTGTGGGAAACCCGATTTTCTTACTGAGCAGCAACATGTTTTCCTTTTATTTTGAGTTATACCATTTTAATGAGTACTAATCTATTTTCAGTTCTTAATTGAGTTATTCCAATATGTGTAGCTATCATGTTTAGTCTAATACAACTTGTCTACGTATTTTAATTATTTATGTGAATTATGTGCAGCATGCTTAATGAATTTCATGCTTCTTCCCTGACTAGTACTTAGTCTAAATTGTAAGAATTTCGTGATGTAGTTGTATTTCTATCATTCGCGCTGCATATTTATTTTGGGACTACGGAATGGTATTCCGGGAGATTCCTCTGTACTGCACATTTACTTTGGGACTACAGAACGGTATTCCGGGAGATCCCCCTGCACATTTACTTTGGGACTACGGAACGGTATTTCAGGAGATCCCCCTGCACATTTATTTTGAAACTACGGAACGGTATTCCGGGAGATCCCCCTGCACATTTACGTTTGGGACTACGGGACGGTATCTCAGGAGATCCACTGTTGTGTTTCTGTGTACTAAGTTGTTACCTTCTATGATTTCATTTTTGTTAAATTTCAGCTTTTATTTTATTGCGATATTACATTCTATATTGTTTTATTATATATTTACCAGTGGGGCCTTGACCTGACCTCGTCACTACTCGACCGAGGTTAGGCTTGGCACTTACTGGGTACCGATTGTGGTGTACTAATGCTACTCTCTGCACATATTTTTCTTGTGCAGATCGAGGTGTACTTTATCAGCCGCACTATCAGTGAGCCGGGACAGCTTTGGAGATTTCAAGGTATATCTGCCGCGTCCGTAAACTTTGGAGTCCCCTTCTACTCTTTCTCATGTCCATTGTCTTCTGTATTTTTCTATTTTTCTTTGTTAGATTATGATGTATAGAGACACTAGATTTTTCCTTCTGTAGTTTATGATTCACGATGTTCCGGGTTTGGGATTTGTTGAATATTTTTGAATAGTTGGTTAAATTTATATTTTTATTTTATTATTCCGTAAATGTTAGGCTTACCTAGTTGTAGAGACTAGGTGCCATCACGACATCACACGGAGGGGAAATTGGGTCGTGACAAGATGTGACATTATAGTATTTCTTTAGGAATTTCTAGCTATCGAGGTGTCTAGTATTAACTAATCCAATTCACTTAATCCAACAGTGTAATGCAATTCATTTGACTGCAATACATAAAGCTTATTAGAAACAAGACACTTATTCATATTTAACGAGTCTCCTACATTCATGGCCGCCTCTACATATGCGGACCATCCCTAAGATGCATTCGAAACATAAAACCTAGATACATAAAACAGTCTCTAACTCACACACAATTAGTTAAAACAGTCTCTAACTCACACACGATAGTGTGTGTTTATTATTGATAAACGCTAGCTTAATTAGAAGCGACACTCGGTAGGGCGCATGTTGCACATACGGGGAAGGTAACGAGCTCTCTCCATCATACGCTCCGACTCTTGGCCTCGGCTGCCGCGCTCCTGCATCATCATCCTCCTAAGGGCTTCGCACCGGCATTGGGTGTCAAAGTTCCTCAATTGCTCGCAGCATTGTTGTAAATGTTCCTGCTCTTGGTTGCTCTCGTCGTCGTCTGTCACCATGCTTAGCTCTTCGCCGTATAATTGGCCGCCTCGTGAAAGGTACATCCTGCAGTGGTTCAGCCTCTGCCTCTGCATCTGTATAAGATAAATAGAAACAAAAAATAGGACCCCTGAGAGTTTATAGAGTTCGACAGAATGCTATTCATATTATAAAAAAAGACAAGAATGGATTGCTCTAGTGGCGAGCACCCTCTACTTTCAACCAAGAGGTTGTGAGTTCGAGTCACCCCAAAAGCAAGGTGGGGAGTTCTTGGAGGGATGGAGCCGAGGTTCTATCGAAAACAGTAGGTCTGCGTACACATTACTCTCCCCAAACTCCATTAGTAGAATTATACTGGGTTGTCTCCCCAAACCCCACTAGTGAAATTATACTCTCGACAAAAAGAACAAAAATCAAACCTTTTAGTAGTAGTAGTAGTAGATATATATAGCCTTCACATGCATTAACTTTTGCCTTTTCGGCAATCCCCCACTTCACATATATATTATATATAGATTACCTGCTCTTGGCACCTTTGAGACCCCTGATTCTCGACTACGTCATCTTCCATCACGGTAGTGGTGGCGGTGAACCTGTTGGCACTTGCAACGGCTACCAAGCACAAGAGAAGAGCTGCAACAACGGTCAGTTTCGCCATGGCAGTAGTGAGATATCGATCGATGTGTAACTTTTTTTGTGATAGAGAATGTGAATTGCTAGTGCTTGTGACGGTGAAATACTCGGTTGTAGGGGTATTTATAGCGCAGTCGATGGTTTGCATGGAAAGTACGTGTTGAATGTCACTGCTAAAGGCAGATAGAAACATTTTGCATGAGAGGAAGACGTGGCCGGCAGCACCAACCATACACTTCGCCACGTTTATAATTACATGCAAATGCTACCGGAAAGAGCACTTTGTTTGAACACACAAAGTAAATGCTCATTCTGATTTTTTTGCAGTCTGTATATATAGCCATCTTTGTCTTCTTCTGTGAGGAGAGAGTGACTACTGAATGACTTGGTTTGTTGGAGATCATCCATCAGTAAGTAATTGTCACATGTAGGATTGTATACATAAATTATACTGCTAATGATATTCTATTTCAAATGGCCAAATTAGATGATTTATAATTGATCTCTATCGCAATATCATTAATAAATTTCATCCCTTATTAAATCAAATGACGAGATTCTTTATCTGAAAATTAAAGGGGGAAAAGACCAAATTTGTCCCTGTATTATTCAAAATTGAGCAACTTTGATTTGTTCTTGTACTCCTATTATTTAAAATTGGGCAACTTTCATCTCCATTAAAAAAATTCTAGAAGAATTTGGACACATAAAATCCACTCATTTCACGCTAGAGCTCCGTTACTCACAAAGACAAATACTCACAATTTTCTAACAACGAGAGGATATGAATTATGGACCAAAAATGGAATAGAAAGCAAAATTGCTCAATTTTAGACCGTACATAGGTAAATCTAAACCTTTTCCCTTTAAAAAGGTTAAATATATCTAAATTTCATTTTATAAGTGATCATGCCCAACTCTAGTCCTAAAAAGAATAAGCGGTCACTGTAAATATAATACAGTCTAAAATTCTGAAGTCGAATCCCACAGAGAACTAAGTCTTAGCTACAATGGTTCAGTATTGCTAAGAAATACAAGTTCAAATAATTTTCTAGTTATAAAGATTGTAATTTTTATTTTAAACTAAGTAATTAACGAATACAAAAAGTAGTAAAATTATCAACTAACAAGACTAAGGAGGTCTAGAGTTATGATTTCCCCAAAGAATAAGCGATCGCTGCAAATATAATCCAGTCTAAAAGTCCGGAGTCGAATCCCACAGAGAACTAAGACTTAGCTATAATGGTTCAGTATTGCTAAGAAATACAAGTTCAAATAATTTTTTAATTATAAAGATTGTAATTTTTATTTTAAACTAAGTAATTAACGAATACAAAAAGTAGTAAAATTATTAACTAACAAGACTAAGGAGGTCTAGAGTTATGATTTTTCCAATTGTCGGAATTCTTCCCGCTACGTTTTCTATAATTTTGCCTAAATATTCTCTACCGATCGTGAGTACTTCGGGTGTCGTAATTCCCTTCCGGGCAACTACAACAATTTACTACACATATTCTTCCGAACTATGCTAGCTGGCACTAATTCACCGCTCACTAAGATCGCATCAAGGTTTTGTTATTCCTAATCCCACCTTTAAACCCTCGGTATTGACTCCTCACATACGTTAGGAGTGATGTTGTTCAACAACTACCCAAATATGTACCCTTTTCCAAGCAATACACACTAAATAAGCACAGTCAATTGATGTCCGTTCAATCAACAACAATTAACACGTAATTGAACAAGTAGAGAAATCCAACGACTCAATTATATAAACACGTAATAAGAATTTATCCTACAAAAAGTTCCATCAAAACCCTAGATAACAAATTAGTTATTCATAATAGTATGCAAAACTACAATACTAGAATTGATAACCAATAATAAAAATAGGAAGAAGGAAGTGAAAAACTCATAGAAGAATTCCCCGTCTTGCTCCTAGTGTGTTCTTTCCTCCTTCAATCGATAATCCTCTCTAAAAACATCTAATCCCCGTTCAAAAGCGAGTTTAAGACTATTTATATGTGATAGGGTTTGCATGGGGCGAAATAACGGGAGAGTGAACGAGCGAAGTGCTTCTCTTTTTCTTTTCCTTCTAGGTATCTCGTGCACTTCTATGCCTTTTCTCCATACTCTGCTGTTTTTTTCTCAAGTTTTTCCTCAGCTAGCTCGTTCACTCTCTCGTGTGCACGCGAGAATGAACGAGAAAAGTTCTTCTTTTGTTCACTTTTTGTCCAACTTTCTCCTACACATAAGAATGCACGTAATGAGCGTAATTCACTACAAAAACTCATGTAACCACCGTAACCACACAAGTTATGAGATGAAAGTACAACAAAAAATATGTATTTTTGGCCGTTTATCAATACCCCACACTTAAACTCTTGCTCGTCCTCGAGCAACTTTCAAAATTAAGCACAATGGCAAGAAACACATTTTCGAAATATACTCAAGCATCATACCAATGACAATGGCTTATACCAACACTTAGAACTCAACATAAGAACTATTGATATCTTTCTTCAAAAGTAGACCCATGCCAAGACTATTTAAAATATTTGTGCGACTTCTTCTAACATCTTAACCTCAAGAGATGACTCAAATACATTCCTTACCATGACTCACTTGTTGTGTCAACTCAAATGCTTGGACTTTACTAATCCTTTGTAAATCATGTGCCCTCACCACAAACCAAAGAGAGAAACTAGTCCACACACTCAAATATGCATTCAATTATAATTTAAGGACTTACAAATCGAAAGAATTCGCTCACTCTCTCAAAGAAATTTATGTGCATCCTGAGGTCATTCCATAGGCTTGCCCGTAGTGTATGTCTCTACTAATTAAGTTTGTGAAGTCTATGATCAATTAGGTCTTTCCAGGTTGTAATGTAGGCTAAGGGATGGGTAGGATATATTTGGGTATAGTGACTAACCCTCTTAAGCACTTTAATACACTACATTTAACTTTCAAATACATACTCTTCATGACCAATTCAAGCAATGCCACGAAATTATATACAATTTGGCCCTTCTTCTTTAAGTACAATTATGCATTCACTAGCTCGGATTAAGAGGAATAGGAGGTGTATTTTCTATTTTTTTTTTTATTTATTTTCTTTGATTTGATTTCATTTTTTTTTTTAATATTCTCCATACTTGGGTTGCCCGGCTAATAATCTTTCAAAATATACGTGCACCTTTTGGCCTTTCTGTGATTTCACTCAAAAGCTACCTCAACTCTCACCTTACTCTTCTAGCGACTTAAGTGCTTTCGGAGGTAAAAGTTCAAAAGATCTAATTAAGAACAAAAAGGGAATCGGCTTATAATGTGGATGTCAAAGAAAAGGTTTATAGGCTCAAATGGGCTATCTAAGGATTAATTTTATTTATGGTGGCATACTAGCTCAATGGACAATCAAAGAAACGCCTATATCATCTCCAAGACTCACAAAGCTTACTTACTTCATTTAGAATAACACAGGGGGCAAGTTCTAGACTAACACAGGATAAGACAGAATATAATTAAGACCTCACATCACACGATGTACATGATTCACTCCAGATGGCTCAGACCCGACACTCTAGTTAAACAACTAAGCACAGTCATCCTATTAATTCAACACATAAAAAATAATCATAGGAGTCAACAAATGAACTTAAGCATCAAAAGAAAGTCACATATATTCTCAAGGCATGTGGCCACATAGAACACGAAAAAGATAATCAGCTCAAATGTTACAGCTCTAAGTCCCGGCATAAAATATGTCAAAAAGCGTAGATACTCAAGTTCTTCCATTCCATTATTAGTTCTACAAAAGAAAGAAAAAGAAAATCTTTTTGTATTTTTTTTTCTTTAGACTTTACTCCCTCAAGAAAACTTTCTAAGAAATTCATCGTCGGGAAAAGTCCAAAACTTTTATGAAAACTCTACCTACAAAAAAAAAAAACTACTATCCGGTTCAAAGAGTCATTCCTTGAAAAAGAACCGTGGCCATAACAAAAATCAAGAGGGATTATTTTTACCTAATTATTTTTTTTATTTTTTATTCTTTTCAACATGCATACAATAACACAACTAAAATAGCACAGGAACACCCAAACAGTCTTTTCACCCCACACTTAAAATTATGCATTATCCCCAATGCACATCCATAAATACAAGAGGGTAAAAGAAACTCTCTGGTAGGCCAAAGTCCGAGGCATTAGCAGCTCACGGGGTACTCAGACTTCTCCCAGACTTGATTCTTTTTGTGGGCACCCACACTTAGTTCTGACCATCTCTCTTGCTTTTGCTTTCTTCCAATAGCCTTACTTTCCATGCTCCTAGAGAAATCAAAAACAACACTGCAATAATAATACAATAATAAAAAATAAAAATAAAAGAAACATAAAACAGTAAAGTTGGGTTGTCTCCCAACAAGCGCTTGATTTAATATCGAGGCACGACGCGCATCACTTTTTGTCTCCACTTCGAGCTTATGAATTGAACCCCAAGTTTTTCTTCAAGCTTATGATTATGCTCATGGGATGGTGGAACGAATCGAACTGACCCAAGGAAACAATATAGTATTTTGCACTTCTTGGCCTTTAGATGAGGTGTGTAATCCTGATTTTTTTGCAAGAAGAATTTCAGAATGTAGGCACATTGTTCCTCATTCCTTGACTCCTCAAGTGGCTCGGATGACTCTATTTCTATATCATCATCCAAATACAATGTGAAAAAATACTTGGAGTGTGGACCAATGCACTCAACTATATAAACATTGGGACTGTCTACATCCTCAACACCAATGACACTTGAGTCAACTAAATATGTATCCTCAATGTCCTTGGTTGACTCTAGTATCTCTTTTACAACATCGGCATCCTCAAATTCTAGTTTGATTGATTGTTGGTGTTCTACTATGGACTCCTCTATTGGTACCTTAATTTCAGCATCTAATGCATGCTCTTTTTGGCTACTATCTACAATATCAACTTGTTAAGCATTAAATGCTTCAAATAATTGATTTACTTGTGCCTCCAAGTTATGAATAGTTGCCTCTTGCCTTTGGATAGTATCACATAGCCTTTGTATTTGCAGTTGTTTCCCATTACTTTGTTCCATG